ATGTAAAATAAATTATCTGTATCTTTAAAATTTACACTTAATCTATTAATAAAGTTTATTGGAGCAAGACTCCGTTGAATATAAAAAAAATAAATAATTTTTTAATTTTTGTTTAGTTCTTTATTTAATTAAATATATTAAAATTTGTAAATTCACATTAAAATTTATAAAGTTTATATTAAAATTTAAGAGTTTTTATTAAGGTTTACGAGTTCATATTTGTATTAGACAAACTATATTAAGGTAAGTTTATATTAAGACTTAAAAGCTTATATTAAGACTCGAAAGTTTATATTAAAGCTCGAGAGCCCATATTAAGGCTCGAGAGCTCATGTTAAGGCTCGAGAGCCCATGTTAAGACTCGAGAGCTCATGTTAAGGCTTGAGAGCTCATGTTAAGGCTCAAGAATTCATATTAAGGCTTAAAAACTTGAGAGTCAAGCCAAGCTCAAATTATATAGGCTTGGCTCAGCCTGAGCCCAATTTTTAAATTTAGGCTCAACCTAAGCCTAAGTTTTTTGAGCTGAACGGCTCGACCGGGCTCAGCCTATGGGGAGCTTTAATTTTAAGAATTGTTCTTGAAGAAAAATTCAACTAAGAAATCTTGAAGAGAAAAATTAGATAACAATAGCTAGGAAATAAACTGAACTGAAGGAAATCAAGAACGATTACTTCAATTTAATAAAAATATCAATGGTAAAAAGGCATGGATTTTACTTGATAGTGGTGTTTCAAGAAATTTTGTCGATAAAGATTTTATACAAAGAAATCATTTTCCTATTAAAACCAATAACACTCTAACTATTGAATTAGCGGATGGGCGAAACCAAGAAATCAACCAAGAAGTACTTCTTAATAATCTTAAGATTGGAGATTATAGAGCTAAATGTATTAAAGCTCAAGTGATTAATCTCAATTGTTATAATATTATTTTGAGAAAACAATGGCTTTTCAATACTAACCCTGATATAGATCGAAGAAACAATATTTTAACTTTTTCTTATGGAAGCAATCGGATAATCATATAAGCCAATAAAAGAAAAATGAAAGATCCTAAATATAATTCTGTATTTATTACAAGGAAACAATTTGTGAGAATATCTTCAAATGAAGAATTGTTTAGTTTATATCTAATTAAAGAAGAAACCTCTAATGAGATACAACTACTATATTCTCCTGAAGTTAAGAAACTTTTGAAAGAATTTAATGACACTTTTTCTACTACTTTGCCTAATGGATTATCTCCAGAAAGAAGATTGGATCACGCAATTGATCTTATCCCTGGTATGGAATTTCCATCTCGACCTGTCTATTGATTATCTCATTATGAAATGAAGGAATTAAAAGTTCAACTCTCTGACCTTTTGAAAAAAGGATTTATTCAACCTTCTGTATCTCCTTTTGGTGCTCCTGTCTTATTTGTTCATAAAAAAGAAGGAACTTTGAGACTTTG